CAGACATTGTGGATGGAGGATGGGAAGACTTTATAGAGGGACCCATGGATTGTTGGCCCAGCAACAAGTCCTGGTAACTGAGATGGGACAGACGCAGCCTTAGAAGGGGTCCTAGGTGTGGACCCTGGGCAGGTTAAAGAACTGTTAGATGTTCAGTCAAGCCCACAAAGAAGGGTCACTGAAGGCCACGGGGCTTCTCTTGGGACCTGCATTCACTCCTTTCCTTTTGCATGGCCCTCTGAGCTAGATGATCATTGCTTCCACAACACATGGAAGGTTCCTGTGCTTTATCACTATCCAGAGGTGGAGCGTGTGGGATTCCAACTTTAAGATTATGGAGAAGTGAAAACTCCACACTGGCCTCGGGCTTAAGCCACATGCTCCCTCACTGGAAGATGGACATCACAGAACAAGGACCAAAAGAAATCAAGGGTCCAGGTTTTCTCCCTTCTGTCATGACCATTTACTGTATTTGTTGTTGTTCAGTGTAAGTCATGTCTGACTCTTTGCGACCCATGGACTGCAGTATGTCAGGCTTCCCTGTCCATCACAATCTTCTGTAGTTTGTTCAAATTCATGTCCATTGAGTCAGTGATGCCATCCAACCATCTCATCCTCTGTCATCCCCTTCTCTTCCTGCCCTCAATCTTTCCCAGCATCAGGGTCTTTTCTAATGAGTCAGCTCTTTGCATCATGTGGCCAAATTATTGGAGCTTCAACATCAATCCTTCCAGTGAATATTCAAGGTTGATTTCCTGTAGGATTAACTGATTTGATCTCTTTGCAGTCCAAGGGACTCTCAAGAGTCTTCTCCAGCATTGCAATCCTAAAGCATCAATGCTCAGTGCTCAGCCTTCTTAATAGTCCAACTCTCACATCCATACGTGACTACTGGTAAAACCATAGCTTTGACTATACAGACCTTTGTTGGCAAAGTATTGTCTCTGCTTTTTAATATGCTGTTTATATTCTTTCTGTTTCACACCCCCAGCTGGATATAACATACTATTCAGAGAATATGGGATATTCCCATTGGTTGCATAATTATTTTCTGACACTTGTGTTAATATTGTCTCACTCTTCTAGTTGATGACCCTGGGAGCTGCAGGTAGTAAACTATTTCTGTGATTAGAATGTCTAAAGTTACCTGAATCCTTTGTACTAACTGTTAGGAAACATTTCCATCAGGTGAAACTGTTCATGTTGGAGAGAGTGGATGGTATCATGCTTCAACCAAACTCTAAAAGTTTTTTGCAAAAGCAAATCACTATTCTTGCTTATTATTCCTCTGTGTGTGAATAGCTCCCATGAGAACCTCGTAAGAGCAGACATCCTCTGTCTAATTGCCATCAGATAATACCCAGTTCCTGATGTCATCCTGGAAAAGCACTGATGCTTCTCTCATATAAAAATCACACTATTTTCATTAACCTACATCACAACTAAATGCCAGTATGAAAGAAGGTATTAGAGCATGCCTATTCTGAAACTGTTTGCAGAATAAACTTAAAGGAGCTTTATGGAGGGAGGTGGGAGGGGGATTCAGGATGGGGGACAACATGTACACCCATGGTTGATTCATGTCAATGTATGGCAAAAACCACTACAATACTGTAAAGTAACTAGCCTCCAATTAAAATAAATAAGTTATATTTTTAAAAAAGCAACTAGCAGTTAAGGAGATCAAACAAGTCAATCCTAAAGAAAATCAACCCTGAATATTCTTTGGAAGGACTGTTGTAAAGCTCTAATACTTTGGCCACCTGATGTGAAGAACTGACTCATTGGGAAAGACACTGATGCTGGGAAAGATTGACGGCAGGAGAAGGGGATGACAGAGGACAAGACGGTTAGATGGCATCACCGACTCAATGGACATGAGTTTGAGCAAACTCTGGGAGATGGTGAAGGACAGGGAAGCCTGGCTCGCTGCAGTCCATGGGGTCGCAGAGTCAGACACAACTTAGGAACTGAACGACAACAAGCAGTTAATCTATGTTGTGGAAAACAGACACAAGTGTAATTGTCATTGTAAGATCTCCTTACAACCCTTTGTAAAAACATCAACCACTGAGTCTCTGAGGCTGTGGATGGAAACTAGAAAAATCAGAGGATGCCTATGTGGTAGTTTCCTGGTCATCGAAGGACGTTAGGTGTTGACTGACATTCTCATGGGGTCGCAAAGCGTCGGACAAAACTGAGCAACTGAGCACGGCATTCTCACAGGTCCTGTACATGTGTATTCCTAACTGTACACCTAGACCTCCGTTTTGAATACCCACTCCAAGCAAAAGAGTCTGTTTAAAGCACCTTGAAATTCCCTTCCCTTGTCTTACAGTAGTCTCTAAGAGCTAAGCCCACACTTGAGTCAAAGCTACCAGATGATTTAATGAGATGTTGTCCAGAAAAAGAATTAAACAGGGATCCCCACCTCCCTCTCATGGGAAACAGCGAAATGGCAGTCTTCCCCAAAGGAGGCCTGGCGCCTCCCTCAGCAGGAGGAGTCCTGACCTTGTCCTCCCGTCGGGCAGTGCAGCCGCTCTGCACTGCAGCTCAGGAAACTGGAGACTTTTCTGTTTAGAGTCTGGAGGGGGACGGAGTTGGTGTGAACCCCTCCAGGATGAGCAGCTGTCTTTCTCTCCGCCGGGCCTGTCTTATCTGGGTCCCCTCTTGAGCCCCCTCAGAGCACGAAGCGGCCCTTGTCATAGGTGCTCCAGCCTGGTACCCTGAGTCGTGGGGCCTTCACACGGCTGGTGTCAGCAGCTTAGCATCAGACCGGTCTGCTCTTGAACCAACTCCACCCACATGCTGCCTTTTCTCCTTTTTCTGCTCTCAGTCACTGATTCAAGTGTTCTGTTATTTATCGCATGTTATTTCTCACTGGACAGGGCGTTTTCCCCCGTTTAAATTGTGGAGGAATTCACTCAATAGAGTCCAGGGTTAAGGTCACTGGAATGCTGCTTTCTGCACCTAAATTAATTTTTTAAAGAGAGAATTTCTGAGAGCTCGTGTGATTTTCAAGCTAAAGCCTGATTCAGTGAAAGGAAGCTTGTGAAGAGCTTTCTCGTGTCTTTGTTTTAATATTCAGACTCAACCGGGCAGAATGGGAGGGTGGCTGTGAGACAGAAAGCCAGCCAGGCAGCCACTGTTCCTTGGGCGGGCAGCCCTTTGGGTGCCATGCCCATCTCTCTTCTTCCTCACGCTCTATCGATTAGAAACGGCGTCTTGCATGCCAGCCTCCTTCTGGGGTGTTGCACAGGGCTGTGCTCATGGAGTTTGTGCAGAAGGGCAGTGATGCTCTGGCCATCAACCCCGGCTCACGGCCGTTCACTGTGACCGAGGGCTTGCTGGTCACAATGCGCAAAGGCTTTCTGTTTCCATCAAGAGAGAGAATTTATGAAAGTTCGCCCCTGACTTTGATGAAGCAGAGGTCTCACTGCCATCATAACAGAAACACAGGCCACATTTTTTAAAGCTACCCTAAGGGGAACCAAAATAAACACACAGCAGCCGCTGTAACAAATCTCTGAGGGTTTAGGCTGTAAATGTTAATAGTGTCCTTGACCTGTAGAGGCACTTCATGGTTATAAAGAGGTTTCTCATTTATTCCCCACAACACCTAGGTGACAAAGGAAGAAAAACTATTAATTTTTTTCCGTTTTGCAAATGGCACGACCAGAGTTCAGAGGCCCAAGGTCATGGGGCTGGTGAGTGGCCTGAGCTTGAAGCTGGCTCTAGCACCTTCTCACTATGTTGTCAATAATGTGCTATTCTTCACATGAGGCCAAGGTCTCTGTGTTGCTTTTTCCAGTAATTGTGATGGGCAGACATGCCATAAACCTTCTGTAGCCCTGTCATCTTATGTCTAGGCATGCACATTGCTTAAGAGGCAGTTCTCAGCTGGGGGTTCAGGCTATGAATATAAACTAGACTGTTTTATTTAGTTGGCCTTTGTGAAGGTCAAAATTGTGATCACACTAGGGCCAGATTTTTTTTCCAGTTGCTTAAAGAGCTTTATAGGTATATGGCTCAGACAGTAAGGAATCTGCCTGCAGTGCAGGAAACCTGGGTTTGATCCCTGGGTCAGGAAGATCTGGAGAAGGAAATGGCAACCCACCCCAGTACTCTTGCCTGGATGATCCCATGGTCAGAGGAGCCTGTCAGGTTACAATCCTTGGGAACGCAAAGAGTCGGACACCACTGAGTGACTAACACTTTCACTTTTCATCCACATCCCGGCTATGATGCAGATTTTGAACAGAAACAAGAATCCTAAGAGCTGAGCCGGGAGTGGAGACACGTGGCAGTTCACAGAGGGCAGTTAAGTGTTTGCTATGTGTGATGTTCTGTTGCGCCTGGGCCTGTGACACTGTGACCCTTCTCATCACCCTCAGTAGCCAGAGCATGTTTTACAGCCGTTCTGCCCTCCTGGATAACCCACGGGGGAGGACTCACTGATCAATAGGAGGCTGGCTCACGGATGGAGTTGGGGTGAGCAGTGCTCAGCCAGATCACAGAGCAGGTCTCTCCCTTGAACGGTGCCTTTACAGATCCTCTCACCAGATAGGATGGTGCTTACCGTCTGCACTCAGTTTCACCTGCAGTATTGGTCTTCAACCTTCCCTGTCTTCTGTGTGGAATCTACGTGGGTTTCCTTTTCCCACACTGGGGCTGTCCATTAGGGGAAAATTTATGGATCCACAAGGTATCCTTCATCCCTAGGTGTTCTTGGGTCCACACTCAACATTTCCAGAGCCCATGAAGGAGGTTCTAGGTCACAAGATGTCTGGAGAAGGAGAGGGGAAGATTACATAGCCCCTGAATCCAGGACGAAGGGTTTGTGTCCAGGCTAACTGTTCCCATCTATTTTGACAATGACTTATTTTTTGTAGTCATGAGGATGGTAGGACTGGGGTGGGCATAGGAATGTTTTATTTTAGAAAACTTGGTTATATTTTGACCCTGGCATAGACTTCACACTGCAGGTCCCTTGATGCCAGTGGATTGTTCAGGATGGAATGCTGGTGGGAGATGCTGAAAGGTTCAGTTGTGCTCTGGAGCAGCCCAGAACCAAGGTCACAGCTCGCGGTTCCGAGTTTGGAAGCAGGGCTGTGAAGCCAGCGAACCACAGCGTGCGTCCTCCTGTGCCCACGTGCCGACGTGCGGAGCGGTCACTGCATCGCCACGCAGTGCTGTGCGTGGATCCGTGCGCGGAGGCCGCACCGCACCTCCTTGTGCCAGCGTGTGCTCACTTCACTCAGAATGGCAGTGTGTGTGAGAAGGCAGAGGAGCCTGCCGAGTTATTCCTGTGCCGACCCCCACCCTGCCTCTCCCGGATTCTGGGTCTGCACGGGCCCCGGGGCGGGTTTGGTGTGAGACAGCCCTGTTCTGTGGAGCCCCGGTAGCTTGCCCTAAGTACTGAGGCCGCTCCCCAGGTCCCAGCTTTTCTTGGGGATGCTGACGCAGGGCACCTGCTGTCACAGAAAGATGCTGAACTGAGAGTCAGGACCTTCTTCACAGGACCCAGGAGCCTGAGCTCATCTTTGGGCCTCAGATACAAAGTGGGGGTGAGGCTTTCTCTTGCAGCCACAGGTGTCCCCCAAATGTTGGACATTGATGTGGGGTCATCCAAGATCGCAGCACCAGCTGGACGAAGGGGACAGAGACTCACCCTGGGTTGTGGTGGATGTGTTCCTTAGCAGCCTCCCGGCTCTGGCGTCAGTGAGGCGTCCTTTGAAGCCATCTCCAGGATTATTCTTCATGCTCATTTCACTTTGTGATAAATGACATTACGTCGCTTAAAAGCTTTGTTCAAATTTATGGTTTATTAAATATATGTGCATATATTTTGGGCTTCCCAGGTGGCTCAGTGGTAAAGAATCTGCCTGCAGTGCAGGAGATGCGGCATTGATCCCTGGATCAGAAAGATCCCCTGGAGGCGGGCATGGCAATACATTCCAGTATTCTTGCCTGGAAAATCCCATGGACAGAGGAGCCTGGCAGGCTACATTGCATGGGGTATAGTATACTAATTAATTTTAATCAATAAAGTTATACATAGGTAGTTTAACTTTATTGATTAAAATTAACTAATGTGCTAATAAATTTAATAAAGTTACATTTTATTAAACTCAGTAATTTCATAAAATTACATTTTATTAAACTCAGTTCAACTTTATGATGAAAATTAATTAGTATAGTAATAAATTTAATAAAGTTAAACTCGGTTGAGCTGTGGGAAACATTTAAACCAGTAACTTATCTCTGCTCATACAGATTTAATTTGTAACGAAGAAAAAACCTAGCAAGGCAAGACCGCCTGCTAGTGACTTGACTCGGGTTTGTTCGGACGTAAAGGAGATGACTGACTCCGGGGAATCAGAGGTTGAGCTGGTCTGAGGCGAACAGGCCCTGCAGCTCAGTTTCAGCCGTCTTCCCTTCTGCTGAACCTGTGCTTTCCCTTCCAGTGACTGGTGCTGGCTTCAAATTGGATTTTGCTACTTCGTGTTTTTTTCTAGCACATCTCCTGATGATCAGGTTCAGATTTTACCTAAGTGTCCCAGCTGCTGAACCATGAAGCTGGTACAATTCTAAAGCAATACATATATATTTTTTTTTTTCAGATAAATAACCTCGCAGAGCAGTATTTAGCTGTTCCTGTCTGGAGCCCAGGGGGCAGGAGATAGAGTCTGAGGCAGAGGTGGGGGCTTTGCCAGCCGAGACGTGGGTACCTGGGCCGTGGCGTCCGCAACGTGCCATGTGCTCAGGCAGGAAGGTCACAATCACATTTTGGGAACAGCTCCAGGCTCCAGTAGCAGCAGGAGCACCTGGCTTCCTGCTTCCTGTCTCACAGCCTCGCTGTTGGCACCCTCATTCCCTTTTGTGCTCCCGAGAGAGGCTAGAGCCTGGATTTGGCATGGCGATCACCGAGCCAGGGTTGGACTGGTAGAGCCATAGGTTCTGATTCCAGATGGTGACTTCATCCCTTCTTCTTCCTGTCCTGTCGCCCTGCACTCTCTGCAGCCTCTGTCTCCACTTCCACCTGCATCAGCTCCGTGAGGACAGCTCCACTGTCTCCATCTGCATGTCTCAGTCGTGTGCGTCTCCAGCCCTTCCCGGCCCCACACTCCTGCCCTGTTCCCACAGCAGCAGGACTGCAGGCTCCTTGGACCTCAAGAATCCGAGTGAATCGCTCAGACGGTTTTGAAGCACCAGCATGCAGGCAGATTTGTTTGTGTGCAGCACCACCCTTTCCCACCAAAGAAAAGACAGAACAAATTCAAGAACATTCAGAGGGAAAATCAAAGGATTTTTGCTTTTGGTTTTTTCCTCTAGGGTTGTGAGTAGTGTCTTTAAACCATGACCTTCTTAGGTGTCTGGCATTTCAAGTCTAAACATCTTGCCGTCCATTTGAAATATGAAGCATAGTTGGGACAGCACAGTTAGGACACATGGTGATAAATGGTGACGACAACAGGTTCCCCGTGCGCTCTTGGTGCGTGTAGTGTGCCTTGCACAGGGTCCTCTCTGAGCCTCCAGCATACCTGCTGTCTCTCCTCCTGCCTGCCGAGCAGACAAATGCACTCCATCCTGTGAAAAGCTGATATGTGGAGGCAGAAGCACACGTCATCTTCAGGAAGGGGCTGAGGAGCTGAGAAATGTGTGTGTACAAACATAACCTGGACTTTGGGAAGAAAGGGAGACTACCTAGTCAGGCTCCCCGACACCCGGTGAGGTGTGCAGGCGGACATACAGCTAAGAATGGTCTTCACACTGTGTCACTGCCCTGATTCCCAGATGTGTCCTCATTCGTCCTGGCAGGAAGCAAAGCAGGACTGAGAGAGGGCAGTGAGGGTCCTTCCAAGGGACCAAAGGACACGCCTCCATCCTGACCTGCACTCCAGGCTCAGGCAGGGCAGGCGTCGAGGACCGAACCAGAGCCATGGTGGAAGCCTGGCTGGGTCCGTGGGGTGCACGCATGACACTAGGGGTCCCCCAGACAGCGCCTTAGTGACCAATACAGCCTGCAACTGCATTCATACCAAGTGTGAGCTTTAGGACCCAGATGCAAACTTTTAGTTAAAGCTGAGGTAAACCCTCAGCCTAGGAGCCTGAGCATGATGTGATGGTCCAGAGATGGGAGGAGGGTGATGGGAGGCATGTCTTGGCCTCGTTCTGTTCTACTTGGGAAACAGACAGCCCAACAGACTGGTCTGGGAAACAGACCTGTCACAGCGGCCGTATTCTGCATCGCTATGCCATTTGCATTAAATACACCTGAGTGGGCAGAACTGCCTCTCTGTATTTGCTCTTACATGTCATCAGCGACTATCGTGACCACTCTGATCGCTACCATGAGCCCAACAGTCAATCCAGAGACCATGATTATGTGTGTGTGTGGTATAGATGTGCAGGGAGTCAGACACAGCAGAGCAGGAAGTGCGGGTGAGGACTTCACAAAAGCTGTAATAAACGCTGACAATTAATTTCCATAAAGGGACAACTTCTTATGGAATATCCGTTACTTAGTGGGTTCTGCAAAGAAGAAAAACTGATAGAAAAGGAGGAAAACCTTACACAGTACCTTGCTGCTTCAGATTCCACCATTAGAAATAATCTACATTATGTGGACTAAAGACTCATCTCCAGTTAGATTATGAATATCTTTGGATGAGGATGTGCATGGAATCCCGGAGTCCGTTACTCTGGGGACGCTCTGTGTGTGTATTTCTGTTGTAAAGCAGAGGTGATATGTTGAAATATGGTTTTTTTCCTTTTTCCTCCTCATTTTCTTACATATGACATTCCCCTCTTCAACCATCCCCATCTGCCTTTGGGAGAGGTAGAATGGTTACTGTAGAAATACAGAGAGAAAGCTTTTGACCTGCAGAAGAGGATTTTGAAACCCACAGAAACACACTAATTTTGGGAAAGAGAGAAGGAATGTCGGCCCAGGGTGCTTCGTTTACTGCTCGCAAGTGAAACTTGATGACTGATCCTGGGTTTGCTCTAGGCCCTTGGCAGGGAGTGCATGGGATGTGCTGGAGAAAGTTCCAGGCAGGAGGAGTTTGCACTGACGTGCTGTTGTACGGTTGTGTGTGTGTGAGGAGGAGAGGGTGTGACAGTGATTGAGACAGCGTGCCTGGCGCTGAACACCCTCCAGCGGCTGCGGCAACACTCAGGTGCCGGTTACAGACGCTGCTAACACCCACGACGTTACCCGCCGTGGTCGCCCCTCTCCGCGTCTGCTGCCGTCCCCCAGGCTGCACATGCATGGAGCCCGGGATGCTGTTCTGTTTGTCATGGTGTCCTCAGCCCCCATCACAGAGCTCAGCACTTGCTGAGAGAATAGTTTCTAACGAAGAACAGGGGTAAGAAGGGGCAGGTGCCCAGAACTGGTCCTTGGTCTACACCACACCATCACTGCAGCCATCCATCTGCAGTCATTGGTGGGAGAAAAACCCCACAAATCTAAAGTAATCATCTGAGCCTTAGATCAGATAAGGATGTGACTTTTTTTTTATTCTGAAAGTGATTAAGTAGTCATGGGGCTACCACAAAATGTGGAGGCCTCTATCCCCAGTGACCTCTTTGAGATGCAGAAAACACCTGCAGTGGATGATTTTCACTTCAGTCACTCAGTCATGTCCCACTCTTTGCGACCCCATGGACTGCAGCACACCAGGCTTTCCTGTACTTCACCAACTCCCAGAGCTTGCTCAGACTGATGTCCAAGTCAGTGATACCATCTAACCATCTCATCCTCTGTCATCCCCTCCTCCTCCTGCCTTCAGTCTTTCCCAGTGTCAGGATCTTTTCAAATGAATCAGTTCTTCTGATCAGGTGGCCAAAATATTGGAGCTTCAGCTTCAACGTCAGTGCTTCCAATGGATGTTCAGGATAGATTTCCTTTAGGATTGACTAGTTGGATCTCCTTGCAATCCAAGGGACCCTCAACAGTCTTCTCCAACACCACAATTCAAAAGCATCAGTTCTTCAGTGCTCAGCTTTCTTTATAGTCCAGTTCTCACATCCATACATGACTACTGGAAAAACCATGGCTTTGACTATACAGACCTTTATTGGCAAAGTAATGTCTCTGCTTTTTAATATGCCGTCTAGGTTGGTCATAGGTTTTCTTCCAAGGAGCAAGCGTCTTTTAATTTCATAGCTGCAGTCACCATCTGCAGTGATTTTGGAGCCCAAGAAAAAAAAAGGTCTGTCACAGTTTCCATTGTTTGCCCATCTATTTGATATGAAGTGGTGGGACCGGTTGCCATGATCTTAGTTAATGGTTTAGATCTGCCTTTGTCTGAAGACAGGGCTGGGCCAGGTCATCTCTGCAGGTGGCTTCAGCTCTGCTGCCCTGTGCTCTATTGACCAGTTAATATTTCCCTGTGGTTGC